TCCATCCCCCAGAATATATTCTATGTTTTCGCCATTGACTTCAATGGCCCATAGGATATAATGGGGCTGAAATTGACATTCGGCTGGAGGAAAGACTCCTGAATCAGCTGGTACTGACGAAACTGACATGCAGGAGTCTTACTGCCAGCCGAAATTGATTCTGCCCAATTTGGCCGAATCCAAATGGGCAAATATTTTTTTTTCACACCCCTAATCCTTACTTTCCCACCTTCTGCAATGTAATACTGGCCTGTAAGATATGCAGCAAGACAACGTATGTGAATTGCAGGAAGTGCTGTACATATATGTCAAATATTATAAAGTAGTATAATGGCCTGATAGCAGGTTTGTGAATAAAGAAGGTAACACATGAATGGCATTTGATATCTCTTTAGGTGTGTGTGTGTGTGTGTGACAGAAAGAGAGCATGCACAAAGCGCTGCTTTGGACATGGGGGGTGGCTTAGTCGTAGAACATCTGCTTGGCAAGCAGAAGGTCCCAGGTTCAATCCCCACCATCACCACTTAAGGGCCAGGCAGTAGGTGATGTGAAAGAAGAAGAGGAAGAGAAGAGATTGGATTCATACCCCGCCCTTCACTCAGAGTCTCAGAGCAGCTGACAAACTCCTTCCCCTCCCCACAACAGACACCCTGTGAGGTAGATGGGGCTGCGAGAGCTCTTTCAAAAACTGCTCTTTCAAGAACAGCTCTGACAGAACTATGGCTTGCCCGAGGTCATCCAGCAGCTGCAAGTACAGAAGTGGGGAATCAAACCCTGTTCTCCCAGATTAGAGTCCGCGCACTTAACCACTACACCAAACTGGCATCAGCCTGCGACCCTGGAGAGTCACTGCCATTCTGAGTAGAAATAGTGACTTTGGGGGACCAAGGGTCTGATTCAGTATAAGGCAGCAGGTCATAAGAACATAAGAGACGCCAATGTTGGATCAGGCCAAAGGCCCATCCAGTCCAACACTCTGTGTCACACAGTGGCCAGAAATACCAGTGCCATCAGGAGGTCCACCGGTGGGGCCAGGACATTAGAAGCCCTCCCACTGTTGACCCCCCCAAGCACCAAGAAGACAGAGCATCCCTTGCCCGAGCCCCTATCTATACCTTGTGGCTAATAGCCACTGATGGACCTCTGCTCCATATGCTTATCTAATTCCCTTTTGAAGCCGTCCATGCTTGTAGCCTCCACCACTTCCTGTGGCAGTGAATTCCA